GAAATCTTGGAAATAGAATGGACAAAATGCAAGAAACATTTAACAAGGACCTAGAAGAACTAAAGATGAAACAAGCAACGATGAACAGCACAATAAATGAAATGAAAAATACTCCAGAAGGGATCAATAGCAGAATACCTGAGGCAGAAGAACGGATAAGTAACCTGGAAGATAAAATAGTGGAAATAACTACTGCAGAGCAGAATAAAGAAAAAAGAATGAAAAGAATTAAGGACAGTCTCAGAGACCTCTGGGACAACATTAAACGCACCAACATTCGAATTATAGGGGTTCCAGAAGAAGAAGAGAAAAAGAAAGGGACTGAGAAAATATTTGAAGAGATTATAGTTGAAAACTTCCCTAATATGGGAAAGGAAATAGTTAATCAAGTCCAGGAAGCACAGAGAGTCCCACACAGGATAAATCCAAGGAGAAATACGCCAAGACACATATTAATCAAACTGTCAAAAATTAAATACAAAGAAAGCATAGTAAAAGCAGCAAGGGAAAAACAACAGATAACACACAAGGGAATCCCCATAAGGTTAACAGCTGATCTCTCAGCAGAAACCCTACAAGCCAGAAGGGAGTGGCAGGACATACTGAAGGTGATGAAGGAGAAAAACCTGCAACCAAGACTACTCTACCCAGCAAGGATCTCATTCAGATTTGATGGAGAAATTAAAACCTTTACAGACAAGCAAAAGCTGAGAGAGTTCAGCACCACCAAACCAGCTTTACAACAAATGCTAAAGGAACTTCTCTTGACAAGAAACACAAGAGAAGGAAAAGACCTATAATAATGAACCCAAAACAATTTAGAAAATGGGAATAGGAACATACATATCGATAATTACCTTAAATGTAAATGAACTAAATGCTCCCACCAAAAGACACAGATTGGCTGAATGGATACAAAAATAAGACCCTTATATATGCTGTCTACAAGAGACCCACTTCAGACCTAGAGACACATACAGACTGAAAGTAAGGGGATGGAAAAAGGTATTCCATGTAAATGGAAACCAAAAGAAAGCTGGAGTAGCAATTCTCATATCAGACAAAATAGACTTTAAAATAAGGACTATTAAAAGAGACAAAGAAGGACACTACATAATGATCAAGGGATCGATCCAAGAAGAAGATATAACAATTCTAAATATTTATGCACCCAACATAGGAGCACCTCAATACATAAGCCAAATACTAACAGCCATAAAAGGGGAAATCGACAGTAACACATTCATAGTAGGGGACTTAAACACCCCACTTTCACCCATGGACAGATCATCCAAAATGAAAATAAATAAGGAAACACAAGCTTTAAATGATACATTAAACAAGATGGACTTAATTGATATTTATAGGACACTCCATCCAAAAACAACAGAATACACATTTTTCTCAAGTGCGCACGGAACATTCTCCAGGATAGATCATATCTTGGGTCACAAATCAAGCCTTGGTAAATTTAACAAAATTGAAATTGTATCAAGTATCTTTTCTGACCACAACGCCATGAGATTAGATATCAATTACAGGAAAAGATCTGTAAAAAATACAAACACATGGAGGCTAAACAATACACTACTTAATAATGAAGTGATCACTGAAGAAATCAAAGAGGAAATCAAAAAATACCTAGAAACAAATGACAATGGAGACACAACGACCCAAACCTATGGGATGCAGCAAAGGCAGTTCTAAGGGGGAAGTTTATAGCAATACAAGCCCACCTTAAGAAGCAGGAAACATCTCAAATAAACAACCTAACCTTGCACCTCAAGCAATTAGAGAAAGAAGAACAAAAAAACCCCAAATTAGCAGAAGGAAAGAAATCATAAAAATCAGATCAGAAATAAATGAAAAAGAAATGAAGGAAACAATAGCAAACATCAATAAAACTAAAGCTGGTTCTTTGAGAAGATAAACAAAATAGATAAACCACTAGCCAGACTCATCAAGAAAAAAAGGGAGAAGACTCAAATCAATAGAATTAGAAATGAAAAAGGAGAGGTAACAACTGACACTGCAGAAATAAAAAAGATCATGAGAGATTACTACAAGCAACTGTATGCCAATAAAATGGACAATCTGGAAGAAATGGACAAATTCTTAGAAATGCACAACCTGCCAAGACTGAATCAGGAACAAATAGAAAATATGAGCAGACCAATCACAAGCACTGAAATTGAAACTGTGATTAAAAATCTTCCAACAAACAAAAGCTCAGGACCAGATGGCTTCACAGGCGAATTCTATCAAACATTTAGAGAAGAGCTAACACCTATCCTTCTCAAACTTTTCCAAACTATAGCAGAGGGAGGAACACTCCCAAATTCCTTCTACGAGGCCACCATCACCTTGATACCAAAACCAGACAAGGATGTCACAAAGAAAGAAAACTACAGGCCAATATCACTGATGAACACAGATGCAAAAATCCTCAACAAAATACTAGCAAACAGAATCCAACAGCACATTAAAAGGATCATACACCATGATCAAGTGGGGTTTCTTCCAGGAATGCAAGGATTCTTCAATATATGCAAATCTATCAATGTGATACACCATATTAAAAAATTGAAGGAAAAAAACTATATGATCATCTCAATAGATGAAGAAAAAGCTTTCAACATAATTCAACACCCATTTATGATAAAAACCCTGCAGAAAGTAGGCATAGAGGGAACTTTCCTCAACATAATAAAGGCCATATATGACAAGCCCACAGCAAACATCATCCTCAATGGTGAAAAACTGAAAGCATTTCCACTAAGATCAGGAACAAGACAAGGTTGTCCACTCTCATACTCTTATTCAACATAGTTTTGGAAGTTTTAGCCACAGCAATCAGAGAAGAATAGGAAATAAAAGGAATCCAAATCAGAAAAGAAGAAGTAAAGCTATCACTGTTTGCAGATGACATGATCCTATACATAGAGAATCCTAAAGATGCTACCAGAAAACTACTAGAGCTCATCAATGAATTTGGTAAAGTAGCAGGATACAAAATTAATGCACAGAAATCTCTGGCATTCCTATATACTAATGATGAAAAATCTGAAAGTGAAATCAAGAAAACACTCCCATTTACCATTGCAACAAAAAGAATAAAATATCTAGGAATAAACCTACCTAAGGAGACTGTATTTTCTGTATGCAGAAAATTTTCTGTATGCAGAAAATTATAAGACACTGATGAAAGAAATTAAAAATGATACAAATAGGTGGAGAGATATACCATGTTCTTGGATTGGAAGAATCAACATTGTGAAAATGACTCTACTACCCAAAGCAATCTATAGATTCAATGCAATCCCTATCAAACTACCACTGGCATTTTTCACAGAACTAGAAAAAAAAATTTCACAATTTGTATGGAAACACAAAAGACTCCGAATAGACAAAGCAATCTTGAGAACGAATAAAGGAGCTGGAGGAATCAGGCTCCCTGACTTCAGACTATACTACAAAGCTACAATCATCAAGACGGTATGGTACTGGCACAAAAACAGAAAGATAGATCAATGGAACAGGATAGAAAGCCCAGAGATAAACCCACGCACATATGGACATAAAGGTGGCAGGAATGTACAGTGGAGAAAGGACAGCCTCTTCAATAATTGGTGCTGGGAAAACTGGACAGGTACATGTAAAAGTATGAGATTAGGTCATTCCCTAACACCATACACAAAAGAAAGCTCAAAATGGATTAAAGACCTAAATGTAAGGCCAGAAACTATCAAACTCTTAGAGGAAAACACAGGCAAAACACTCTATGACATAAATCACAGCAAGATCCTTTCTGACCCACCTCCTAGAGTAATGGAAATAAAAACAAAAATAAACAAATGGGACCTAATGAAACTTCCAAGCTTTTGCACAGCAAAGGAAACCATAAACAAGACCAAAAGACAACCCTCAGAATGGGAGAAAATATTTGCAAATGAAGCAACCAAAAAAGGATTAATCTCCAAAATTTACAAGCAGCTCATGCAGCTCAATAACAAAAAAACAAACAACCCAATCCAAAAATGGGCCGAAGACCTAAATAGACATTTCTCCAAAGAAGATATACAGACTGCCAACAAACACATGAAAGAATGCTCAACATCATTAATCATTAGAGAAATGCAAATCAAACCTACAATGAGATATCATCTCACACCAGTCAGAATGGCCATCATCAAAAAATCTAGAAACAATAAATGCTGGAGAGGGTGTGGAGAAAAGGGAACACTCTTGCACTGCTGGTGGGAATGTGAATTGGTTCAGCCACTATGGAGAACAGTATGGAGGTTCCTTAAAAAACTACAAATAGAAATACCATATGATCCAGCAATCCCACTACTGGGCATATACCCTGAGAAAACCAAAATTCAAAAAGAGTCATGTACCAAAATGTTCATTGCAGCTCTATTTACAATAGCCCGGAGATGGAAACAACCTAAGTGCCCATCATCGGATGAATGGATAAAGAAGATGTGGCACATATATACAATGGAATATTACTCAGCCATAAAAAGAAACGAAATTGAGCTATTTGTAATGAGGTGGATAGACCTAGAGTCTGTCATACAGAGTGAAGTAAGTCAGAAAGAAAAAGACAAATACCGTATGCTAACACATATATATGGAATTTAAGAAAAAAAAAACGTCATGAAGAACCTAGGGGTAATGCAGGAATAAAGACGCAGACCTCCTAGAGAACGGACTTGAGGTTATGGGGGGGGGGGTGAGCTGTGACGGGGCGGGAGTGAGTCATGGGCATATGACATACACACTAACAAACATAGTACGGTAGATAGCTAGTGGGAAGCAGCTGCACGGCACGGGGATATTGGCTCGGTGCTTTGTGACAGCCTGGAGGGGTGGGATGGGGACGGTGGGAGAGAGGGAGACGCAAGAGGGAGGACATATGGGAACATATGTTTATGTATGACTGATTCACTTTGTTGTGGGGCAGAAACTAACACACCATTGTAAAGCAATTATACCCCAATAAAGATGTTAAAAAAAAACGAATAAAACAAAAAAACAGTAAAGGGGACCCAGGTAGTATCTGGGTTACAGATGGGACAAGCAGAAAATTTCATTACTGTAAATATATGAAACCATGAAAGGATGGAGTTGGAAAATAGGATGGCAGGGTAGGGCAGAGGGACCTGGAAGGCCCAGCAGGGGCGGAAGGGTCTGCTGGACTGGTGGGTGGGGGAGGGGCTGTGGACACACCCTCTCCATGTTGTCCCCTCCCCCACACTCAGAAACCCTTTGTGACTCTTCAGTGCTCTGTGATGCAGGCCTGGGACTGCACTCGCACTCTCAGTGCTCAGTGTGTTCAGGCAGTCTTGCGGTTCAGAAATGGGATTCAGAGAATGGAATGTTCTCTCATTTTTGAACAGCGTTATCGACCCATGTCTGAGCTGTGACTCAACATCCTTGGATATTTACCGAAACCTCATCGTCCTGTGCGAGTTGGTGTTGCTTCTTCTGTTGCTGTGGTACCTGGTGAGCTTGCCATTTTCACCTACCTTCAGTAAAACCAAAGACATCCGAAAGGTAAGCAGCCCTGGGTGAGCCCCCAACAGAGACTCTTTGTTGTTGTTTTCATTTCTATTCCCACATTTTAAAATGAGATTGGTTGGCTCAGAGAGACACCTAAGATGGGAAGTTCAAGGAGAGGATAGAACATCATCCTCCTAGGGAAAGAAGCCAGGCAGGGCTAGGGGTTCAGGGAGGACTAAGGCTTCCAGTTGAAGCCCATGTCCCATCTGAGTGTTTGGAGGACACCAGGATAAAATCCCAAACAGCAATTTTGTGGCCCTAGGTTGGGTTATTTAGAGAGTGTGGGATCTCTGCAGGAGAACAGAGTTCCCCATTGCTTGATCAGGAGTACATTCTCATGTCAGGCATCACTCGACAAAGCCTTCCTTTGTGCTGGGCTGATCAGAGCAGCAATGCTGAGCCTCTGAGCAGAGGCTGGAGCCTGAGCTCCAGGATACAGGGTCCCATCTGAGGGACATGGACGTGACTGTTGGCCTCAGATGCTATGCCCTCCTTGGGCAGATGACTTCTGACTGGGAATATCAAGTGTGGATCTCATAGACAAAAGTCCTTCTTTGAGTTTGTCAAAGAAGAAAAAAATCGAAAGCATTTTAAGCCTTTAAAATTGATAAAAGGAAGGAACATAAAGTTCTATTAATTAAAATAGAGTCATATTATTCATGGGTAATGAATATCTGAGTTTCCTAGAGAGGAGTGAGAGAAATGAGCCCCAGCCCTTCATTCTTTTCTTTTTGTTCTCAGCGTCAGGGCAGAGCCAAGAGGAGAAGGAAAGGTGGAACACCGAAAGGTAAGGTTCTGCCTATCCCAGCTGAACTCTCCAAGGGTGACCCTTCCTGCCTTTTCCATGACATCCAAGGTCCCTGATCTCTGAGGATGTCAACTGCTAGATACAGTTTCTCTCAGAAACCAGAGTTCTCAGAGGAGAGGCTTGTGGGAGGGCAGTCAGAGCCTGAGACACTGCTCAGATTCCCTGCTCTGCTCATCGCTGGGCATGAACCAGTGATGGACCTGGGCAATGGGTGTTTCCCAACAGGTGGCCATGTGAGATGTCAAGAGTCAGAACTTCTGTGTCCTGACTTTGTAAAAGTCCTTTGACTTCCTGGATGATCAGATCCCTCTCTAAGGCAACACTGATCTCTGGGCTTCACATGGTGGTTTTGAGCATCACATGAGATAAAATGCATGTGAAAGTACTTTACAAGAAGCAACATACACATGTTAATATCATTGACCATTTGACCTCATCTACTAATTCTTGGGTCTTTCAGAGTCTAATACCCCAAGGGTTTCCCGTAAGGGGACTCCTTTATTATACCTATGCTTCTACCTTCATTACATATAACCCACTCTCCTGGTTTCTCAGGTTGGAGATGTCACCAGACAGAAATAGAGGAGAAAACGAAGCTGATTTCTATTCTGAAAAGGTGACTAACTAGTCTTTCCCCTTCTTTCCTGATCCCTCCTTAGCATGTTCTATGCAATTCCAGGGATTCAGTGCAACCTGCTGTAGTCATGGCAGGGGGTAGCACAGGAATGAGTATGTGATGAAGGCCTTGAGGTGAGGGCTGTTGAGCATGTTGTGAACTCATGGATGTGGAGCAACGTGAAGGGGCCACAGGCTTCAAATGACCCCACCCCTGCCAGGCCAGCAGGTCCCCCCTTGCCTTATTCTGGTCCTGGTTGCATCTTTGTACTTCCTGTCTTCTGCAGCCTCCTGGGCCAGCATGATGACAACACCCGCATTCATCGGCTCTTATGTCCAGACCCCTTCTGTGAGGTGTGTAATAATGCAACTGCTGAGATCAATTGGCTGCTACTCCCAGGGGCCCTGGAAGATTCTGCTTCCTCTGTGTCCCCCTTGGCTTCCATAGCTCCTGTGACTGAGTCGTCATTTACTCTGTCCCCTGCCTTCTCAACAGTCCCTCCAAGAGACCTAACACCAGCCTCTCTTCTTGAGCCTTCCCCACTGCCCCCCTCCGTTCTCTCCCCTAGCCCAATGACCCCCTTAGTTGACTCTTTTTCACCCTCCCCATTGGGTCATTCTCTGGCACCAGAGCCTTTTCCTTCCTTGGATTCCGAATTCCCAGGGGACTATTCCCCATCCCAACCCCTTGCCTTTCCCCCTCTCCTACCACATGACACTCAGACAGCAGATCCTGTTCTCCCACGAGAGGCCACTTTGTCTCCGGATACCGTTTTCTCTCTTGACCCCACCCTTTCCCAAGATATCAATCCCCTATCAGATTTGGCCCAGGCAATGAATCACCCCGATTCTTCTGCTTGTCATCATGCACCACCAACTCTGATGTCTCTTTCACCACAGCCAGAGTGCACTTTATCTGTGACTCAATCTGTGACTCCAGAACAGGAGAACTTATCTCCAGATAGCTCTGGTGGGTTATCCACTTGTGTGTCAACAATCAGAGGCACTGAGCATTCAAGCCTGTCAATTGCAGACTTCTCCTGGCGGCAAGCTCATGCCAAACACTCGTTCCCTTCCACGTTGGCACAATGTGATTTCAATCAGGAGTTTCCTGACCTCCATTCTTCAGAGGCCTCTTTTGGGGGAGACCCTGCAGCCAACCTTGTAGAGCCTGGTAACCTCTCATTTCTCAGCCCTGATGTCCTGGCACTCCTGGAGAGACAAGTCCAAAAGAGGAGCGATTTCCTGATGTGCAAGGAAAAGGAAAATGAAAAAGATTCTCTTCCAGAACAACTTAGGCCAGACTACCAACGAAATTCTTCGTGGAAAATGTTAGAGTCAACTGCTGATAAGCATGACTCGGCAGTCTGCCTTCCCTTTTGGAGCAGCAGAGACAAATCACAGGAGCTGCATGTGCGTCAGCAGCCCCCATATCCTAAGACCCTGGAGGACCATTTACAGCAAAAACCTATCCAGTTCTTCTGGGGTCTCCCGTCTCTGCACAGCGAGTCCTTGCCCTCTGCTGTTCATGTCTTGGCTGACAGTTCCTCAATCTTTATTTTCAATAGAAACTCGAATGCCTCCACAGGCCAAGAATCACCAGTGCTTCCTGATCCCCTGCCTCTGTCCTTGCCTGAGATTCAGCCTGAGCCCTTGCCTCAAACCCTGCCTCAATCTCAGCCCCTACCTCTCACTCAGGTCCAGTCCCAGGCCGACCCTCAGTCTCCACTCCCAGTCATACCATCTGATCCTCTACCCCAGATCAGGACCTATGGAGTAAGTTTCCACAGACCTCAGGATGAGTCCCAGTCTCTCTCCTCATCTGAAATTCAACAGCTGGAATGGAACATTTTGCAGAAACAACAGGAAAATTTGTGGGGTTTACCCTCTGTGGTCCAAAGATCTTGGGAAGACTTTTGTCCATCAGCTCCTAACACTCCTCGCCACCGGGCCCCCCAGGCCCGTGTTTCAATCTCCATCCTTCCTGGGGAGTTTCCTCTCGGTGATGAAGTTCGGAAGAAACTAGAGCATCACCTTCGAAAGAGGCTCATCCAACACTGGTGGGGCCTGCCCCGCAGAATCTACGAGTCTGTGTCACTGATATTGCCTCCAAATGGTTTTTCAGAGGCATCTGAGTCGGTGAGCAATAATGGAGTCTCACTGATCTCTGTGTTTAAGGGTCAGAGTAGCAAAAATGGAAATGTTGGATTGAGCCAAACTGGAGGCTTCCATGAGAGGAGCTCAGAAATGTTCCAGCTAGAGGAAGGTGTGGGGAAGGATCTGGGACACAGCCTAGAGAATGGCCCAAAAGATCACCTGTTGAATGACCCAAAGAGCTCTTCAGGTAAGGATCTGGGGTACGACTCTGAGAAAGACCTAAACAGTCAGATGGTGAGTCTCTCAGAGAAAAATCCAAGGATGTCAGCAGAGAGTCTAGGTCAGAGACAACTTCAAAATGTCCTAAAAGTACATTTGAGCAAGAAGTTTGGAGAAATAAATGAGGGTCGGCTCCCTGGGACTGTGCATAATTCATGGCATGCTATCAAGCAAACATTGCTTCTTTCTGTGAAATCCCACACCCAAACAAAACAGAGAAGTGTGCCATCATCAGTGGGTGCGGCCTACTCCCTGAATACCTTCCAGGACCTGACTTTTGTTGATTCCAATACACAACAGATGCTGGAAGCCCATATTAAAAGGTTTCGTATGAGGATGTTGTGGGCCCTTCCCCGCAAGGTCCTTGAATCCATACAGATCTTTAAATTGAAAGATGCCTCATCCCAGTCCTTGTCTCATGCCAACTTGCCCTCCTCAACCAATGTGATTTCTGAGGCAGACTCCAAATCTGGGAGCTTCAAGTCCTTTAGAGGAAGCTCTGAATCTCTCCATGGAGACAAAGCGGGAACAACAAATTCAGCCCCTGTCCTGGATCGTTCTCTCCCTGCCACCTCACCTGTGGGCAAAGGAGGACAGAGGGTCCTGAGACAATCACGCTCTGATGTCAACCGTAGGCTGGCAGAGGATGTTCAGAGAATTAAGGATGCCAGACAGACTCCTCTGTCTGTTTCACTCTCCAGCACAGGGAAAGCAGGTCCTAGACAGACTCAACTAGCCAACAGATATCCCCAAAAGCTGCTTGCAAAGCAAGCTGGGGCCAGATATGAGCCGAAGCATAAGAGTGTGAGTTTCAGTGATAAAGGAGAAATGCAACGGGGCAAAAAGGTGGAGAAGTCAGAACCTGCTTCCATGCCCAAATTGTCTAGGGAGGTATTCGCGGCTGAGGAGCCTGATCCTCTTCAATTAAAAACTAGTGACATGGTGACAACTAGCAAGGTGACAACGAGCTCCCAAGTGATAAATGTGAATGAGAATAAAGCAGAAACTACCGTGACCACTGGAAGCCCCCCACCCAAATTACCAGTTCGCCAAGATCCTAAATCATTAGACCTTAAAGAACAACTGTTCCGTGAGTTAAACTTTAAACTGGAGAACAGGGAGCATAGCCAGGCTCAAGGCCAACCCACTGACACATCCCTTGCTTCAGATAACTTGACTTACGAGGCCTCACTGACTCATGCCCAAGGTGTCTCAGGTGGGGACATGGGAGCTTCCCAGGTGCTGCATGTCCATTTGGAGGACAGAGGAATCAGGATGGAGCAGCAGCAGAAACCTTGGGCCCCTAAGCAGGATAAGAACTTCCCACCAACTGCAAAGAGAGTGAGCCCTCTGGAGCCCAAGGCAAAAGAGCTTGATGGAGGGGATAAAGGCTTGGGGACATCCCAACTTAGGAGGAAGAGTTTCCCTACTCAGGAGATGGTACTAGGGCAGACACATGCGAGCAAGTCTTCCCAGACCCTATCACAGAAGGGACAGCCTCTTCCTGAAGGCCATAACGGAAAAAGAATGATGCACTTCTTGCAATGGCTTTATTCTGGGATAAAATACGAAAGTCAAGAAGATGCCCAGGAAAAGGGCAGCCCCATATCAACTGTGCAGAACAGAGGCCTAGTTAAAAGTAAAGCTGCCTTTACTGGGACAACTGAAGCTCAGAAAATCGTGACAGACAATGGGAAGTTCCTAGAGGAGCAACTGGGGTGTCAGCATGCAATTAATGTCACCTGCTCTCAGGGGCCCCGTCCTCCCCCAGTGCAGGTGAGGAAAACTCAGCAAAAGGCGGAAGTGCAGGTCCGGACAGAGCCTGTCCAGGGATATCCTGTCAACTACAGGGCTCCCTCCTGTAAAGTGACAAATATCAAGTCCTGCCATCAAATATCAAGTCCTACCTTTGCTGGCCAGAGTTATCCTCCAAGTACAAGACAGATCAGAGATAAGAAGAGACACCCCCAGAAAGTTGTGGCATTCAAGGACCAGCAACTATGTCACAGACATCTCCCACCAGTGTCCCACGGGGAGCCTGTGCCCCATCCAAGCCCCACCCACAGGCGCCAAGCTGGTCAGGCACCCACGGCTGCTCTCAGCACTGCTGAAGGCACTGTGTCTGGACGTCGGTCTCTACTCTTTAGACAGAAAACAATTCTCCAGAATTCCCAGGGAGGAAGACTTCCCATCCAGAAATAACTCCTTCCTTGTGGAGATTATTGATTCTCCCAAATAAATAGTTATCTAATAATAGTGTATCTTTTCTGTGTACTGTGTTGGGGGCATGGGTTTTGGGTAACTCAGGGCTTATGTGTAAGGGAAAGGAAGGAGATAGTTCAGCTCTTACCGACTGCTTCCTTTGGCTTTGGCTAAAAGGTGACCAGTCCTCTGGAGTTCTTGCTGAACCCCGCCACCCCACCCCCCGCCCCAAAGCCCATTTCCTCCCTGATGAAATTTGAGGAGATGGGCTTTGTCTTCTGCCGCTTAGCTTAGCCTTAATGAAAATGTATAGCAGCCCACATCTCCCCCCTCACTGAACGTTTTATATCCTTTAGAGAAGTAGGGAAGATAGGTCTTTTATACCTGAGGAGCGTTAAGGACAGGTATACTTTCTGAAAATAATGCTGAAGAAGAAACAACAGCTTAATCGTTATTTAGAACTCAGTGACCAGAGGCTCCTACAGGGGGCTGAACCCTGAATGGCACTATTTGGGCGGAGGTGTTGCTCTGCTGGACCCTGGGCTAGTTGCCGTAGGGTCCAGGAACTTTTATGTTATGTGCCC